TGTTTTTTTATCCATTCTGATACCCTGTGTCTTTTGATTGGGGCATTTAGCCCATTAACATTCAGGGTAAGTATTGAGAGATATGAATTTAGTACCATTGTATTGCCTGTAAGGTGACTGTTATTGTATATTGTCTCTGTTTCTTTCTGATCTACTACTTTTAGGGTCTCTCTTTGCTTAGAGGACCCCTTTCAATATTTCCTGTAGAGCTGGTTTGGTATTTGCAAATTCTTTCAGTTTTTGTTTGTCCTGGAAGCTTTTAATCTATCTCTCCTTCTATTTTCAATGATAGCCTAGCTGGATATAGTATTCTTGGCTGCATGTTTTTCTCGTTTAGTGCTCTGAATATATCATGCCAGCTCTTTCTGGCCTGCCAGGTCTCTGTGGATAAGTCTGTTGCCAATCTAATATTTTTACCATTGTACCTTACAGACTTCTATTCCCGGGCTGCTTTCAGGATCTTCTCTTTGTCACTAAGACTTGTAAATTTGACTATTAGGTGACGGGGTGTGGACCTATTCTTATTGATTTTGAGGGGGGTTCTCTGAACCTCCTGGATTTTGATGCTTGTTCCCTTTGCCATAGTGGGGAAATTCTCCCTAATAATTCTCTCCAATATACCTTCTGCTCCCCTCTCTGTTTCCTCTTCTTCTGGAATCCCAATTATTCTAATGTTGTTTTGTCTTATGGTGTCACTTATCTCTCGAATTCTCCCCTCGTGGTCCAGTAGCTGTTTGTCCCTCTTTTGCTCAGCTTCTTTATTCTCTGTCATTTGGTCTTCTATATCACTAATTCTTTCTTCTGCCTCATTTATCCTAGCAGTGAGAGCCTCCATTTTTGATTGCACCTCATTAATAGCTTTTTTGATTTCAACTTGGTTAGATTTTAGTTCTTTTATTTCCCCAGAAAGGGCTTTTATATCTCCCGAGAGGGTTTCTCTAATATCTTCTATGTCTTTTTCGAGCCAGCTAGAACCTTGAGAATCGTCATTCTGAACTCTAGATCTGACATATTACCAATGTCTGTATTGATTAGGTCCCTAGCCTTTGGTACTGCCTCTTGTTCTTTTTTTTTGTGGTGAATTTTTCCGCCTTGTCATTTTGTCCAGATAAGAGTATATGAAGGAGCAAGTAAAATACTAAAAGGGTGGCAACAACCCCAGGAAAATATGCTTTAGCCAAATCAGAAGAGATCCCAAATCGTGAGGGGGGAGAAAGTGGATAAAAAGAGGTTCAGAAGGAAAAAAAAAAAAAAAGAAAAAGAAACAATAAAAAAGAAAACCAATAAAGAAAAAATATAAAAAGGAAAAAATATATATATATATATATTAGATAAACTAGTTAAAAAAACGTTAAAAAAGAAAAGGGTAAAAGTTAAAAAAAATTTAGCAGAAGAAGAAAAAAAAATTGAAAAAGAAAAAAAAAATTAAATTAACTGCAAAGCTAAAGAATCATGGGGAGAAAGCCAGGAGTTCCATGCTTTGCTTTCTCCTCCTCTGGAATTCCGCTGCTCTCCTTGGTATTGAAACTGCACTCCTGGTAGGTGAACTTGGTCCTGGCTGGGTTTCTTGTTGATCTTCTGGGGGAGGGGCCTGTTGTAGTGATTCTCAAGTGTCTTTGCCCCAGGCGGAGTTGCACCGCCCTTACCCGGGCCGGTCTGAGTAATCCGCTCGGGTTTGCTTTTGGGAGCTTTTGTTCCCTGAGCACTTTCCGTAGAGTTCTGGAGGACTGGAATGAAGATGGCGGCCTCCCGGTCCCCGGCCCAGAGGAGCCGAGAGCCCGGGGCCCCACTCCTCAGTGCGCCCTCAGAGAACAGGGCCCAATTACTCCCGTCACCCTGCCTCCGGCCGCGCTCCGAGCTGACTGAGCTTGCGACCGGTTCGAGGTAACCCTGAGCTTAGAGCTCACTCCTTGGCTCTGTCTCTGTAGCCGGCTTCCCTGTTCTAATACCTGTAAGCTCTGCAACACTCAGACACCCCCGATCCTTCTGTGACCCTGCGGGACCTGAGGCCACGCTGACCCTGCGTGGGCTTCACCCCAGTTAAGCCTCTTGAGGGATGTCCCTCAGCGGAACAGACTTTTAAAAGTCCTGATTTTGTGCTCCGTTGCTCTGCCGCTTGCCGGGAGCCGGCCCCTCCCCCCGCGGTCTATCTTCCCGTCGCTTTGGATTCACTTCTCCGCCAGTCCTACCTTGCAGAAAGTGGTTGATTTTCTGTTTCTAGAGTTGCTGTTCTTCTTCTCTTCGATCTCCCATTGGATTTGTAATCTTTAGATAAGCTATCTAGTTTGCAATCTTTAGATAAGCTATCTAGCTGATCTCCCGCTACCTGAAGTAGTCTCAGCCTGCTACTTCTCCGCCATCTTGACTCCCTTATGATTTATTTAACCTGAAGTTTTCAAACAGAAAAATCTAATCTATGGGTACAGTAGTCAGAATAATATTTAACTTTCCACGGAGAGATTGTCTGAGAAGAGGTAAGAGGAAAACATGCATTCTGAAAACTTGCTGTTTTCTGTATTTTAACTGGGAAATGATCACACAGGTGTATACATTTCACATACCCATGTTTATCATTTACTGAAAATTCATTCACCATCATAGTTAAAATTTGGCACTTTACTGTATGCAATTATATGCCCATAATTAACAAAAATTATATCTCTTAGATTATAGTAAAGAATAAGTCTGAATAAAAAAGAAGACAAAAATAGCAGACATTGATTAAAAATTAAATTACTAATACAACATTAAATTCAGTGAAAATTGTAGCTAAGATATGATCTCAAAATAAGTAATGCATGAATATAATATATAATATAATAAATAAACATGTGAGATTTATAAATATAATAATACTTAGTGAAAAATTAAGGACTTCAAACAGCTAATATTTAAATATTTCTGCCAGACCATTTTATTTTTTTTTATTTTTTTAAAGATTTTATTTATTTGACAGAGAGAGAGAAATCACAAATAGGCAGAGCGGCAGGCAGAGAGGCAGGCAGAGAGAGAGAGAGCAAGCAGGCTCCCCGCAGAGCAGAGAGCCCGACGCAGGGCTGGAAACCAGGACCCTGGAATCATGACCCGAGCCAAAGGCAGAGGCTTTAACCCACTGAGCCACCTGGGCACCCCTCCACCAGACCATTTTAGAGGGAAATTGATGAACTCAATAAAACTTAGCTGCCCCCCTCCCCTTCAGAAGGGTAAACAGTGTATACAACAGAATTAGAAAAATAAATCCAGGGGCGCCTGGGTGGCTCAGTGGGTTAAAGCCTCTGCCTTTGGCTCAGGTCATAATCCCAGGTCCTGGGATTGAGCCCGGGCTTTCTGCTCAGCAGGGAGCCTGCTTCCTCCTGTCTCACTGCCTGCTTCTCTGCCTACTTGTGATCTCTGTCTGTCAAATAAAAATAAAATCTTTAAAAAAGAGAGAGAGAAAGAAATCCATAACATTTGTCTGAAGAGCAATTCAGCTCATTGTGAACCCAAACCTATGAATATGCTTACAATAATACAATAAATTCAAATGGAAAATTTTATTGTAAAATATGTCCAAGTTTTTCACTACTACATGACATATATTATCATCCAAACTGTGACTAAGACTAAAATGTTTTAAGCTCTCTCTCTTTTTTTTTTTTTTAAAGATTTCATTTATTTATTTATTTGTCAGCAAGAGAGAATGCAAGCGCACAAGCAGCGGAGTGGCAGGCAGAGGCAGAGAGAGAAGCAGGCTCCCTGTCGAGGAAGGAGCCAGATGCGGGACTCATTCCCAGGACTGGGATCATGACCTGAGCCAAATGCAGTGGCTTAACTGACAGAGCCACCCAGGCGTCCCAAGCTCTTTCTTAATTTAACCAAACTGAGTAACAAAGGAAAAAGTAAATGAAACTTATTCCAAATTGGTTTGAGTTCACAATACATTAAAGTCCCATTAAGGGAGCTATAAATGGATGGTAATTTATTCAGTATTTGATCCATTTGACATAATTACCCACTTATGATTTTTCACATTATCCTTCCTGTGAAAGCAGGACTATCACAATTTTAAAGTCTTAAGCAAATATAAAACGGATTTTTAGGATAAAATTGTAATGATACATAGGTAAGACTTATTAAACATTATGCAACCTCAGCATTACATGCCTATTATTTCATAGGCATTGTTATTTTATTATTATTTCATATCATATTCATCACAAGTCTATAAGATAGTATTCTTATTATCCCCATTTAAAAGATGAGAAAACTGAGGCATAGAAAGGTTAAGTTGCCCAAGGTCATCAGCTAGAAGTGATAAAGAATTGAATTGTCTAATCTCAAATGAAATTTTATAACATAGCGTGGCCTAGAATTCAGTAATATACCAAGAGAAACACAGTGTATTCTAAATTAAAACGTGAAATAAATACAACATATGATTTAGTGGTGGCCTCACATTGCCAATTCTGTGGTAAGCCCCCCAAACAAAGCCACATATGTCCTTGTGATACCACAAACAAGCTGATTTAAGAATGATAAACTATTTACCTACCTTGTGCTCCATTTTGCTAGTGTTTCTTCTGGGAGCTAGTTGCCTGATTCAGAAAAAAAATGGGGGACAGGGGGACTTTAGATAAAATGGACCAGATAAAATGGTCATTACTAAATCTATTGCAAGTTACCCAAGGATTTTCTAAGCCTTAATATAATAAATTCAACATACATTATACAAATCTCAGGCACCCAATGGCAGGGCAGTAGTGCTTAGGCTTGCCACCATTTATTAATCCAATTCAGTTTTTCCTGGTGAATAAATGAAATGAGTTTTAAGACTGAACTCCAGTTTGATATAATGAAGTGAGCATGCACCTTGGAATTACAAAAGCTAAGTTTACATGTTTGCTCTGATAAATACTGTGTCATCTTGTATAATTCATCTTTTTGGGCCCAAGTTCCTCATTTACAACTGTAAACCTATATCTACCTAATAGGGTTGACAGAGTTGAAATGAGAGAGCCATCATGATGCTTAGCAGAGAGCCTGGCATAGCAGGTTTCGCAGTAAGTACTATCTAGGAGTCTTATTAATCACATTACTTCCAAAGAGCAGATTGAAATGCATATATTTATGTTTTTATAAATTTTATATTTTAACTTATTTTTCTGAAAAAGTTCTACACGCACAGAGTTTTACAATGACAAATAATTATAGGGTATACAGTGAAAAATAAGGCATTCTTTATTCCTTTTCCTTTGCCTGAAATTTCCCCTCAGGAGCATCAACAGTATAAACTTTCAGAGATATCAAATGAATATAAAAGAATATATGCAAATCTTCCTGTTCAGTACAAATGATACCTACTGCTCTACACCTTATTTTTTCACTTAATTTTATATCTTGAGGATCACCGATTATCAATGCTTTTGGGTTTTGACACAATCTAATAAAGAGCATGACACTTAATCACCAGACTTCTGAACCAATTGTGTTGGGACAAAAATTACCAGATGGAGAATACAAGAACCAGTTTTAAACTAATGAAGAACAAGAGGACTTAGCTTAATGTGAGAACCAAAAGGGCTTGCTAATAACCTCTTCCCCAGTAGAAACCGTGGAACACTTGACCTGAGAGAACGTTGAGCTCTAAGAGGAGACACAGCCCCCAGAGTCCCCCTCCCATTCTGAGTAGAGGTAAAAGAACTAAACCAGTTGCCTTTTCTTTTTTCCTTCTCGCTTAGGTTAGTCTATTTTATTTCCTTCTGTTGACAAGGCTGTAATGAATATCTTTGATCGTAGATACATTCTTAAAAATGAAAATAAAGTATTTGCTTGTTAAATTCTCGTAGGTATTACCAAGTCACTCAGTATGAGAAAAGTATTAAAATGCATGTATTAAAAAGACACTCATTTCATCTTCATTAAGTCACTAAAATGTGGCGCTTGTGCCCTGCAGGTCACAGGATGGGATTGGAAACCATTCACCTCTACTATCAATTCAGTACTTCCTATTCCTTATGGAAAAGTGCTTTCAGCTCAAGAAAGTGGCGGTACTCTTTGGCACTTCCAAGTTGGTAGCCAAAGGGACATCATAAGTCTTCTGAGATTTAAGTTCCCAGGCCTGTCGACTTTCAGGCAACTCAGTAACCCAGCACCCAAAAATCTTTTGTGTAAGAGCAGCATCTCGCATATAGACCCAAACAGCAGGATCCTAAATCTGGCAGATGTAACCAGAAGGAGAATGAAGGCTTTAAGAACAGCAATAAGTAAAACACACTAATTATTCCTCTGCAGCAACAATTGTAGAAATTCTGTTTGGTGAAAGTTTGATGAGTCTTTGGTTTCTTTTCAAAATACAAAGCATATTTTTAAGTAAAAATTCAAAAGGAAAAACGTTCGAATGAGTTTGTCAAACACGTGAAGCATGAGGTATATTAGTTTTGGCTTGGAAAATAATGGTTCTCATAACATTACCAAAAAGGTGGTATTTGGGAATAGAATGAATATAGGAAATATGGTAGATTATTTTGTATAAATGAAATGTACTGTAAAAATGAAATGTACTATAAAGTGCATACCTTTCTAGTCCTAAGCTATTTCTTGAAAATGTAACTATCAGACATCATAATCAATGATACTAACTTTTCTTTAATACTACAAATTCTACATACAAGTAAACTAGAAACAAAACAAAAGCAAACAATATTTGGAAAACAGAGGCAGTTATAATATGAAAAAAATGAGTTTGAATGTTTAAATGGGACTTCAGTAAGAAAATGGTTCATTCTGGAATTCCCACTTACACTGGGGAGATCTGGAATTAAAGTTTCTCTAATTACTATTTCTTACCATTGATTCCTAGGTTTAGACAATACTACAGCACTCTGTTATTCTTGCATTTCATTTTCTATTAAGTAGATCTAACCACATAATCTAACCAGAAGAAAGCTGCTGGCAAAGGGGATGTCCCCACCAAGAGGCACCCGGTGCTGCCAGCCGGGGTGAACACAGTCACCACGCTGGTGGAGAACAAGAAGGCCCAGCTGGTCATGATCGCGCACGACGTGGACCCCATTGAGCTGGTGGTGTTCCTGCCCTCCCTGTGTCGCAAGATGGGGGTTCCTACTGCATCATCAAGGGGAAGGCCAGGCTGGGGCGTCTGGTCCACAGGAAGACCTGAACCACGGTAGCCTTCACGCAGGTCAACTCGGAAGACAAAGGGGCTCTGGCGAAGCTGGTGGAAGCCATCAGGACCAATTACAAAGACAGATACAACGAGATCTGCCGCCACTGGGGAGTCAACGTCCTGGGTCCAAAGTCAGTGGCTCGCATCGCCAAGCTGGAAAAGGCAAAGGCTAAAGAACTGGCCACCAAACGGGGCTGAGCGGACTCGGCTTGATTTTCTGTACATAAAAGTAATAAAGTTGTCTTTCGGCCACTAAAAAAAAAAAAAAAAAAAAATTTGGAATTACAAATTCTATTTGTTCATTCAATTGTATATTCATACACTCATGAAATATATATCCCTGGGGCTCCAACTAAGTACAAGGAAAGTACTAAGTTTTAGGGATGAAACGAAGAGCTTGACTAGCCACAGCCCCTTCAGTTATGGAGGTTACCATCTACTAGAAGAGAGACATGTGCTAGAAGTCACAGAAGTAAATGCATAAATGTAATCTTCATTTAAACTATGAAGAAAAATTATGAAAGGATAAGAAAAGATGTAACATTGTGGCCTATTAGGAAGTTTCATTTGAGCCAGAACCTGAAAGACAAGTGAATTTTAACCTGATGAAGAATGTCCAAGGCCAAAGGAATGGCACTGAGACCCAGAAGATCATCAAGGCTGAGCACAGAGAGCAGGAGGGGAGATAAGTGTGGAATAACACCAGAGTGGTCATGGAGGGCAGACTAATAGCCTTGTATGCTATATCATGGGTTTTGTTCTTCATAACAGCAAAGGAAAATTTTAAGAGGATTGTGAGCAGGGAGATGACATGATTGCACTTTAAAACCTTGGGTAGAGAATTCTGAAGTGGGAATTTGAGTGAGGCAAAGGAGACTGTTGGGACCAGATTGTCACATGTCACAGTAACTCAGGAGAGTTATACCAGTAGTTTGAAAAGGAGGGCTGCAAGTACAGATGGAAAGAACGGCACATACCTGAGAGATATTTTGAGATAAAATTGATAGGACTTGTTTAGTGACTAACTGTGTGGGGTAGGAGAGAATGTCAAGGCTGCCTGGGTGTAAAATTGGATGGATGGTACCTAGAAGACATAGCCAAAGGATAGGTTTAGAGTTTTGATATCGTGCTTGTCACCTTTGAAGTGCTCTTTAGACATTTCTCTGATGTGTATGATTTACTAATTACTAGTAATTCCTTTAAAGTTAAGATGTTAAGAGCTTCTAGATCCATCACGTAATTTTTCAGTACTCGAGCCTGGCTGTACACCACAGAACATCAAGAGCCCATGTGAAAAGAAGACTCTGAGGTCAAATATCTATAGACTCATGGCAACAGCAGCAGTGGTGGGACTCCTCCGCTGATAAGACCTGGTAGTTTGAGAGAAAAGAGACAGATGGAGCTGAATAAGAAATGAAACAAGAGAAAGAGTTGGCCTAAATTATATGTGTAGATCACAATGTAACACCTTGGTCAAATGTACATTTTGATCCAAATTTTCCATAAAGTTATGCCTGTGTTACCACAAATTTTGCGTTAGCATAGGAACATTTTGAAAATAAGACTGTTTCTGTTCTGCTTTTACTCTGAATGACTTTGTGTTCGAAAACATTGAAATAGATATACAAAGACTTTTATAACATAGCTTTAGAAGCCATCAGCACTTTAATAATCTAATACCTTCAATTAATGCATAAAGACTTTTAGAAACTTCCTTGCTATGAACAAGTTAAACAGATCAATGATATAATAGGAGAATGCAATTTGTATTCTATTGGAAATGCATTTTATTCTAAGAGCCCAAAATGTAAAAATATTTTCTCTTGTCCTCCTTTTTCAATGCAAAAATTGACTACTCTTAAGAGAAAAAAAAAAAAAGAATACCTCATATAAATTAAAAGATCATGCAGTTAAAATAAAAAGTAAACTTTCAGTAAATTTTCCAAGGGCAACTTTAATGAAAAGGTTGCTAATTATAATTTGAATAGGAATTTAAACTGCAGAATGGTATATTCAAAAATTAAAAATAGCTGACACTGTAGAAAAGCACCAAAATCTCATGGCAAAATAAACTAAAGTCTTAATTCTTGCTCCTGCAAAGTCCATGACAGGCCAGGCAACCCTCTTCAATATAAATCCAATGTCACATAGAGTATGCAGTCTCCCGGTTCTCACGGTGTGGGAGATAGAGGTAGAGGCAGCTCACCAACTCATAAATGCCTTGGCTCAGAAGAGATTTGCATCATTGCACTTCCATTTCATTTTCCAGAATTAGTTAAATAAACCTAACATAATCGAAAGGGGGACTGAGAAATGTAGGAAATTTGTAGGTATTTGGTAAGTACTAGTCATCTGATCTTTGACATGGTTATTTTCCCTGGTATATTCAAGTGTCTTCAGCTTTCTGTCTGGAGTAGTTTTTGTTTTACAATCATTGCACCTACAGAATCATTTTATATAGTATAGCAAAATATTTATGGTTCTCCACCCCGAATCTGTTTATTGGAAGTGATAGCTTGGCTAAGATACCATCAGCTTTCAGTCGTATCCATGATGGTGACTATAGGAACCTGGAATTGATAGGTTTACCACAGTATCTGACAAAAAAATATTTGTCAAGAAGTTAGGGAGCACCTGGTTGACTCAGTCAATAGAACCTCAACTCTTGATATCAGGGTTGTGAAATTAAGTCCTACACTGGGTGTTGAGATTACTTAAAAATAAAATCTTAAAAAACAAGACAATTAGGTAATTGTTAAGCTCTTCCCAAAACATTTGTTCTGGGGACAGACCTCTCTTCTTTCTAAAGAAAATGTAATTTTTTTCTGGGATATCAATTCTATGCATTCCACCTCTAATAATGGCCAAATTAGCTCTTGCTAGACTGATCCTCCTCAGACAACAACTAAACATGCTGGAATACTTATAAAAACAACTATGGAAGTTCTTTGGAAAGCAAAGAACAGGAGCAAGAAGGAGAGGGGAAGGAAGGAGAAGGCTGCAGCAAATTTTAGAGGGGAATTACAACTAGGAGGAAGGAAGCAGCATTGGGTGTATTTTCCATTTTTGTTTTAGGGCTTCTACTCTGAAGGGCCCTCACAATCTGTGCCAGGAAACATGGTTAAAAATGTAATGGAAAATCCAGGGGCACCTGGATAATTCAAGTTGGTTAAGTGTCCACCTTCGGCTCAGGTCATGATCTCGGAGTCCTGGGATTGAGCTCTGCATTGGGCTCCCTTCTGAGTGAGGAGCCTGCCTCTCGCTCTGCTCCCTACCCCTCTTGTACTCTCTCTCTCTAGCTCTTTCTGTCTCTCAAATAAATAAATAATCTTAAAAAAAAAAAAAGGAAGAAAATCCACTATATTTCTTGGCTGAAGAACCAGAAGACAAGATTTGGGCAACCACAATCACTAGATAATGAGAGGCAAATCCCCAAAAGAAGACAGGCAGAGTGGGGCGGCTGGGTGGCTAAGTCAATTCAGCATTCTACTCTAGATTTCAGCTCAGGTCATGATCTCAGGGTCATGAGATCTAGCCCCTGTCTGGTTCCATGCTGTGTGTGGAGTCCGCTTAATATTTTCTCTCCCTCTCCCTTTGCATCTCCCCCACCACTCATGTGCTCTCCCTTTCTCTCTTAAAAAAAAAAGAAGAAGAAGAAATCTACTATATTTCTTGGTTAAAGAACCAGAAGACAAGACTTGGGGCAGCCAGAATCACTGGAAAATGAAGGCAAATCTCCCGAAAGAAGACAGGCAGAGAGAGGGAGCCTCAAAGTCTATATTGAAACTCTGCCTAAGTCCCTAGCTGATACCTACACCATGTATGTGTCAGTGTCCAATCACTATGGTCAAGGCTAGAAGAAGTGCACAAAGATGTATGCTGCTGCCCAGGAGTGAGTTCGTTATTTGAAACAGACCAAATGAATTGCTTAAACAAACAACAAAAAACTACACTGATTTGGAGAGATATAACAGAATCCAATATCGTCACATATAGCATTTACGGTTCAAGTTAATCAACCTATCAAGTGTAGGAAAACACAATTCATCCTCAAGGGAAAAAAAAAATTAACAGACACTGATCCCAGGCCATCCAAATGTTATTATGAGGAGACAGGGGGTTAAAGGCAGATATTAAAACTGTGCCCAAGGATGTAAAATAAATTATGTCTCCAAAGAACTAAAGATTAGAAATCCAAACAGAAAAATAGGAAACCTAAAGAAACTAATAAAATTGATAGAACTGAAAAATATAATGCCAAAAATAAAATTATTCAAATAATGAATCTAATAGCAGAATGGAGATGACAGAGGAAAGACTATGTAAACCTGAAAATCTATCAATAGAAATTATGCAATCTGATAGAGAAAAATATTTTAAAAATAAGGAGATGCTCAATAATTGGTAGGACAATATCAACATGTCTAACATAAGTACAATTGGAGTCTCCATAGGGAAGTGGTGAAAGAACAAAGCAAAAGATACCATTGAAGAAATAATAGCTCAAAATTCCCCAAATTTGGTGAATAAGAATTTTCATATTTGAAAATTTCAGTAAATGTCAATACAAAGAATAACATTCCTAGTTACATGACAAACTTTTGAAAAGCAATGATAAAGAGAACATCTTGAAATCTATGAGAGAAAAATCACATGTTAAATATAGAGGAACAATTATTATTCAGATGGCTGAAGAATTCTCATGAAAACAATAGAGAACAAAGAGAACAGAAGAACATCTTTAAAGTGATGAAAGTGAAGTTATCAACCCAGAGCTCTATACCTTAATGACAATAGCCTTTAAAAATGAAGAAGGAAAAAAGTTTCTGTTAAAAGAAAACATTTTTTTTCTTCAGCACATAGTTACTCTATGAAATAAAATAGATATATTGAAAAATGGATGGGAAAAATTATACCATAAAAACAATAAGATTAAGGAGGTCAGAGTATGTATATTAAAATCAGATAAAGTGAAAAATATCAAGACAAAGATAATTATCATAGATAAAGAGAAATAATTCATAATAGTAAGAGTTCATTAATAAGAAAAACATAATTTCAAATGGGTTTATACCTAACAAAAGAAATGAAAAGTTCATGAAGTTAAAATTGATGGAAATTAAAGAGAAAAATAAATAAAACTATATTAATGATTATAGATTTTAGTAGCCCTCTCAAAAATTGGTGAAGGAACTATGCCAAAAAGAAATCAGTAAAGGCATAGAAGATCTGAACAGTGTCGATGTTGTTGATAAATTGATATTTATTGA